TGGGCTTTAGTACCCACAGAAGCCGGAGCACTTGAGCCCCCGATATAAAAACCAACTCCAAGAAAGAACCCTCAGGAACATGTGACTGCAGGCTGATGTGCGGCATCGGAGCCTCTAGAAAATACACCCCTACATGTTGTTCACTGAGTACACAAGCTTTGTCGTAATCTGTGACAGCAGAGTCGTCCAAAACCACTCCAGCTGAAAGGGTTATGGATGATCAAGAGTTTCTAAAACGCATGATCTCCTTACTGCTCGATGAAGGTGAGCCAGGAATCAACGTCGTCTCGGCTTTCCGCCTTGGAAAGAAACAGGAGGACTCCTCTAAGGTCCGTCCCCTGAAGATTGTATGTCAGAACGATGAAGTCCATCGCATTCTCCGACGAGCTCCGCGTCTTAAAGAACCATTTTTCGTATTACGAGACCTCTCTCCGGAGGACCGAGTAAAAATGAAGAAAGCGGTGGATGAACTTAGATGTCGTCGTGATAACGGTGAGACGGACCTACATATCGTGGATTTTCGCGTGGTTCGAAAAAACGCCAAGAACTCGTTGGAGGCCACTCCTTGTAATGCCCGGGCGTTAGAGTTGAAGAATGGACTGCGCGTAATTTCTTCCAATGTGCGCAGTCTCAGAAACAAACTAGACGAAGTTCAGCTTTTTGCCTCCATGAATCGGCCGGATCTTATAGCTTTCACCGAAACCTGGTTGTCCTCGGATACCCTGGACTCGGAGGTGCAGATCCCTGGATACCACCTTTACCGGGCAGACCGCCATGGAGGAAGACCTGGGGGAGGCGTGATACTCTACTGGAAGACGGACTTCAAGGCCCATCTGGTTGAAGCTACCTGTGGCAGCGATGGCGACTTCGAAACTCTCTGGTGCCGTGTTCATGACGGATGCAGATCTCTCATGGTCGGTGTAGTATACAGGGCCCCATTGGGTTCCGGAGCTTGTCTGCTGGACGCGATCAAAATGCATGGTGGAGGTAAGGACTGTTTATTACTGGGTGACTTTAATGCCCCGGGTATCGACTGGGACCAACTGCATTGTGTTCCCGCTTCAAACGTTTTTGATTCCGCTCTTCTAGAGATGGTTATCGAATGTAACTTATTCCAACATGTCACAGCGCCTACTCGTATAATTGCAGGACAAACACCCCATATCCTCGACCTTGTACTCTCACCGGCACAATCAGATGTCACCGACCTAGCCGTTCTTCAGCCTATTGGTAAAAGCGATCACTGTGTCATTACATTCCTCTGGACCCGACGACTTACTCTCCACAACCAAGGTCGCCTCCGCAGAAATTTCTGGCGTGTTGATCCCCAACGCTTACAAACGGCTGCCAGTAGTGTAGACTGGAGTATGCCCGAATCCCTGAATTTGGACGATGAGTGGAACCTCTTGCACTCCAAAATGATTTCGCTTGTTGAGCAGGTCGTTCCTGTCTACAAAAGACCTTTTGCCAGGGGTCCTCCATGGATTGATCGAGAACTGAGGTGCCTAATGAACAAAAGACGGAAACTGTGGGTCCGATTTAAGCTTACGCAATCCGGGTCTGACTATTCGGAATATAAAGTGGCCAGGAATATCTGCAACTTGAAAAAACGAGAGAAACGGCAAAAGTACGAACTCGGTTTGGCCTTGAAATCCAAGACAACGCCCAAGGCACTCTTCTCTTACCTGAAGAGAAGTACCAGAGCAGGCAGTTGTATTCCTGCTCTGTATTCCTTGGCTCGTGTGGGTTTGCTTGACGATGATGCTGCGAAAGCCAGTCTCCTGGCCATGCAATATGCATCTGTTTACTCGATGGAGACGCCGTTTCCCAGTGACGCGATGCCAAAACTCCCTTCTTCGTTGGAGCATGTAGAAATGAGCGCTGATGTCGTTGCCAAAGGTATTCGTGAATTAGATCCGAACTCCTCGCCAGGTCCTGATGGGTTGCACCCGCTGTTCCTCAGGACTGTGGCCGATTTCATTGCCGCTCCCGTTTGCCGGATATTTCGACATTCCCTTGAAGTTGGACGGCTCCCGATCGCTTGGAAAGTGGGGATTGTTAAACCCATACACAAAGGAGGGGATCGTCAAAACCCTGCCAACTATCGACCTATCTTGTACTCATAAGTAGCAGGATTTTAGTTGTAAATTTGATAAGGCTTTCATCCCAACAGTTCACAAGCTACATAGCAGAGCCTAGTCCGGAAAAGCGCCAGACGCGTTTCGCCCTATTGGGGCTCGTCAGTGGCGCGCATTCCCTCGGTCCTCTAATGAGGATCGAACCCATGACCGCTAGAGGCAGATGCCAACTAGCCAGCAGCTTAAGCTAATGAGCCATGGGGGACGTCGGCTGGGCTACATAATTTGCAAACTAGCTGGGATATAGCACCACCTATCTACCACTGTCACGGACAGTGGTTAGCCTGCAAGGTGATGACGTCCTCTCACTAGACGCTATACCTATAGCGTTTTGAAACTAGGAGAGGCAATTTGATTTTATTGTACACATAAGTAGCAGGATTTTAGTTGTAAATTTGATAAGGCTTTCATCCCAACAGTTCACAAGCTACATAGCAGAGCCTAGTCCGGAAAAGCGCCAGACGCGTTTCGCCCTATTGGGGCTCGTCAGTGGCGCGCATTCCCTCGGTCCTCTAATGAGGATCGAACCCATGACCGCTAGAGGCAGATGCCAACTAGCCAGCAGCTTAAGCTAATGAGCCATGGGGGACGTCGGCTGGGCTACATAATTTGCAAACTAGCTGGGATATAGCACCACCTATCTACCACTGTCACGGACAGTGGTTAGCCTGCAAGGTGATGACGTCCTCTCACTAGACGCTATACCTATAGCGTTTTGAAACTAGGAGAGGCAATTTGATTTTATTGTACACATAAGTAGCAGGATTTTAGTTGTAAATTTGATAAGGCTTTCATCCCAACAGTTCACAAGCTACATAGCAGAGCCTAGTCCGGAAAAGCGCCAGACGCGTTTCGCCCTATTGGGGCTCGTCAGTGGCGCGCATTCCCTCGGTCCTCTAATGAGGATCGAACCCATGACTGCTAGAGTCAGATGTCAACTAGCCAGCAGCTTAAGCCACTGAGCCATGGGGGACGTCGGCTGGGCTACATAATTTGCAAACTAGCTGGGATATAGCACCACCTATCTACCACTGTCACGGACAGTGGTTAGCCTGCAAGGTGATGACGTCCTCTCACTAGACGCTATACCTATAGCATTTTGAAACTAGGAGAGGCAATTTGATTTTATTGTACACATAAGTAGCAGGATTTTAGTTGTTTAACGTCAATATTGTGCAAGGTAATGGAGAGGATTCTCAAGCGGGCACTTCTTTTCCACCTCGAGGACCTTAACGTCATCTCTTGTGCGCAGCATGGTTTTTGGCGGGCGCGCTCCTGTTCTTCGAATCTGCTTGTGGCCCGTGAAAGATGGGCGAAATCATTAGACGCTGGGAAACGTCTGGATGTTATTTTTGTCGACTTCAGCAAGGCCTTTGATAAGGTTCCTCATGAAAGACTCCTTTATAAACTACGATTAATCGGTGTTTCTGGGAACGTTCTCTCTTGGATCGCTGATTTCTTGGATAACCGGACAATGCGAGTCGACGTGAACGAGACTTACTCCGCTCCCGTGCTCATGACTAGCGGTGTCCCACAGGGATCGGTCCTGGGCCCAGAACTTTTCAAGATCTTCATCAATGACCTTCCGGCGGAACTTCAGTTGGATTGCTTGATTTACGCTGATGACTTGAAATTGTGGATGGAGGTATCCTGTCTTGACGAGGCGGACCGATTACAGGCTACACTTGACACGTTACATGAGTGGTCAGTCAAATGGCGATTGCCCATAAATCGCGATAAGTGCTCGGTCCTTCCCATTGGTGCTTCTGAGCCTTTCGGGACGTATCACATCGGTGGGACGTTGCTCAGAACCTCAATCCTAGAAAAAGACCTCGGACTATACAGGACACGTTACGAAGGGTTGCTGCTGCCAACAGGATGTCCCACGCCATACGACGAGCCTTCTCGCGTTTGACTCCGGATATCTTCCGACTATTGTTTACTTCCCATGTCCGCCCCATTCTCGAATACGGATTACCTGCCCTCTTCCCTCTCACCAAGTTCGAATGTGACCTAATTGAGAAGGTGCAACGGCGTGCATCGAAATACATCTTGGAATTACGGGACTTGCCTTATCCCCGGAGACTTCAGCGGATGAATCTGTTCACCCTGGATTATCGCCGACGTCGCGGTGACCTGATTTTCACCAGGCGCATCCTGAGAGGAGAGATGGGGACGGAGCTGCAGGCGTGCTTTCAATCCAATCCAAACAGTTCAACTCGAGGCCACAACTGGAAACTGTTTAAACCCAGAAGACTTCGGATTCATCCTGCTCTCGCTCTATCAACTCGCGTAGTCAACGATTGGAATAACTTGCCGAAGTATGTGGTCGAGGCCCAGACGGAGGAATGTTTCAAGCGAATGTTAGACTCTTATCTTTTGAGTACGATGGGTCCTTGCAGTTTCCAGTGTAGCTGTCAAGGTCCCTTGTGGATTACCGCATAACATCGAATCGCGGCCTCCACACAATGATCGGGAAGTGATGGAGCTGACAAAGGATTTCTCCTTCTGCTCTCTACAATCCTATGAACTATGAACTATGAAGAGCGGTCAGGGCCAAACAATACAACGCCACCGCAAAAAAGGTATAAGCAGGGTGCCAAAGATGCTTTGGCCAGTACCACTTTAATCGATCCAAGATGAAATTTGACAATAGTCAAATTTCGTTTAAGTGTTTATTCAAACACTTTTCCACGTTACTTCAGTTAAAAAGCTAGATAAGTATGGCAAGCTAAAAAATGGCTACCACGTAGTACACACAGGATGAGTCAAGTGCATTTAGGGACCGTGCGACTGTACGTCGATAAAAATTTCATTGATAACAGCGATACGACAGGCAGCATGACGAAAAAACAAAATCACCTGCTCAAGACGAAGCACTGCACCGATAAAACTAATGATTCTTCGGGCTTCGGCAAGTGCACAGTGACGGAACGAAGGTAACCCGGAAGAAGTGTTTGGGTACAAACGGTTTTTTGCCTGCACTGTTGGAATGAGACATAATAAATTAAGCGAAAAAATTAGTAACTACTCTAAAGGAACTTTTGTGTGCCTGGTTAGTTCCGATAAACCAGATAGCATCGTTGTTCTTTCGGTTTCTTCTGTGCGCCTCCCGCACAGTTAAAGTTGTCTATGAAACTCTGAAACTCATTCTAAAGGCAACGGCCATAGCTTTTAAGGAAACCAGCGTTTTCCCTGTTGCAATAAACTCAAAAAACGCAAGACCTTTCGGAATGCTGCCAACAACTTTACTGCGGATAACGATCCCCCGTGGAGGATTTTGCTCTGCATTTTTCAGTTTTCTGTATCAATACGGCAAACCACTATGAAATCCAAGTGCATATTTTGTAGCAAACGAGGCACCTCCCGCTCAAAAGCCGTTCAATGCGCTCTATGCGAAGGGTGGCTACACACTTCGTGTTGTAAATCGATGACGCCCTATATGAATGCCTTCAAGTTCAAGTTCAGTTGGGACCGGAACGATAGGATAATCCCGTGAATGTTCCTTCCTTTGCGTATCGTTGGATCGGGAAATGACAGGCCTGCTTGAGATGTTGAAAAGCCTAAAACAAAGACTGCATCACACCCTGTCCAACCAATTACTGCCCACATTTTCCTGCCCAGCAGTCCCTGCCGGGCCGGTTTATGTGAAGTAAAAGAGTGAAGGGTAAGTTAAGAAAAGAAAAGGAGGAATGACAGCTAAATAATGATAATACCAAGGTGAGAAGAAGATTAAAAAAGAACGAATGGAAAGTTGAAGATACAAGTCGGTTAGGAGAAGGGGAAGGTTTGGTACTGCCACCCTAGAGCATCTAATTGACGCTCGAAACCCTCTATCGTAGACTCCCTAACCACGTGCGCTGGAAGCGAGTTCCAACGTTCAATAACTCGACGCGACAAGCGAGTTTCCGTCCTTACCCGGTCAGAACGCTGTTTGTGCAGCTTCAACGGGTGACCTCGGAGACTAGGCAGCTTGGCGGGACTAAATAGCCAGGATAAATCTGGACCGATCTTACCCGTTAAGATACGGCAAGTGAGAATCAAGTCTCCTCTAATTCTGCGGTAGTGCATTGAGTACATACCCAAGCTAAGCAAACGTTCGGGATACGTTTGCCCCCGTAATCCTTGCACTAACCTTGTACCCACTCGCAAAACCCTCTCCAGTTCCATTTTGTCCCTTACAAGACAAGGTGGACAAGCCTGTATACAGTACTCTAAGTGAGGTCGCACGAAAGCTGAGAAAAGCTTCACAAAGCTATTGGCCGTTAGGACACCGAAGGAGCGGCGAATAAACCACATCATACGGAACCCTCTACAAGCAGCCTTCCTCCAATTTTCCCCAGAGTGAAGCAAGGAGGTATGGGTGATACCTAGATCAATCTGCTGAATGACAACAGGGAGTTCACTTCCACCAACTACATAGCGCGTGGGGGGACTAGCACCTCCAATGCGGAGGACAGAACATTTCGCCTGATTTATGGGCATCCACCATAAGGTTGACCAATCCCAGAGCCTATCCAAAGCACTCTGAAGTGCCTCAGAGCCACCAGGGATATCCACAATATTCCAGAGTTTGAGGTCATCAGCAAACAATAGCGACGATACTCCAAGCTCCTCAGGTAGGTCATTGACATAAATTGCGAAAAGCAACGGCCCTAGAACCGAGCCCTGCGGAACGCCACTAAGAACAGCTTGTCTAAGCGAAAGGCTATGCCCTACGCGTACACACTGTTCTCTGCCCTCTAGGAAAGCAGAAACCCATTTAAGGGCTGCTCCAGATATCCCATACGATCTCAACTTCAATGATAGTCGTTGATGTGGGACAGTATCAAAGGCTTTCGAGAAGTCAACGAAAAGCACGTCGATGGCGTGGCCGTTGTCTACTGCCTCCGCCCAGCTTTCACGAGCTACAAGCAAATTTGTCAGACATGAAAATCCCTTACGGAATCCGTGCTGGGCCGCACTGAGAAGGTTAAACTTAATCAGGTGATTCTCCACCGAATCCCTGACCAATTTTTCAAACAACTTAACTACTACGCTTGTTAAGCTGACAGGCCGATAGTTCGCGGGCAGGACTCTGTCCCCGCCCTTAAAAATCGGACAGATGATTGCCTTCTTCCATTCCGAAGGTAAGGCACAGCTGTCGAGTGATATTGTAAACATGCATGTCAGAGGGCCACTTAGCTCAGCGGCCAATTCATGCATCAGCTTCGGATGAATTGAATCAGGGCCAGAAGCTTTGGAAGGATTTAGCCCTTGCAATAGCCCGAAAACTTGTGTCTCCGTTATGCTGATTTCAGTTAGGCAAGAATCCGCCGGAACTTTTGTGACCATCTCAACCTGAGGTAGAGAGGCCTCATGAGAAAAGACACCAGTATACTCTTCGCTAAGTATACAAACATTATCATAGTCGGTATGCCCATAGGTCCCGTCCGCTCGTAGTGAAGCCGGTATAGACGAGTTTGTACCGCTACGCCTCTTTACGTAATCAAAGAACTTCTTTGGTTTTTTTTACGGCTGCGTTAGCCAAATCCTCCTCGTACTGAAGACGAAGAGTTCTAAGATGATGCTTACATTTATTTCTAACCGCTCGATAGCTTTCGTAGGTGCTGGTTGATGAAGCCGCTTGGTAAGTTCGCTAGCACTTAGAGCGCTTCCTGAGCAGATATTTACCTGTATGATCTATCCATGGAGGCTGCGCCCGTGTCACCCTTCTCTTAGTGAATGGGATGTGGGGAGCAGAGATCTTAGTGAGGTACACTTTAAATTTCTCCCAGGCTGTCTCAACGGTGTCAGCCACGGTGATCACACAACGCAAAACTGAAGCTTTGGCTCGTATTGCGTTAAAGTCTGCCCGGCCAAATATTTGGACATGCCTCAGCGGTAGCTTGATGACACTTAGTTAGAGCACATCGAAAGGATATGCAGACATGGTCACTGGCTCCTAGAGGACAGTCGTAGGCAATATCACTTACGAAATCGTGTGACTTCGCAAAAATGAGATCCAAGGTAGACGGAATTTGGTTGCGCATATATCTAGTCGGGAGGTCCACGAACTGATGCAAAGGCAGTTGCAATGTTAGCTCAAGGAGATCCGAACCGAAAGTGCCCACCGCCGAACTGCAAGATAGATCAGCCCAGCAGACTTCAGGGAGGTTGAAGTCACCCAGTATTAGACACCTATTGGTAGCCTGAGTACGAATAAATTCAATAACCTCCCCGGAGATACTACCAGGACTTCGATATACCACTACAACTGTAAACTGAGCGGAGGAAGTGCACACAATAGCCGAGAGGGCTTCAACAGTTTGATCCGGCGACTGGAACACCCAAGTCCTCAACACATCGAGTTTACAACTCACATAAAGAGCGACGCCTCCACCTTGGCGGCCAATGGAGCGATCGCATCTAAGCAGTGCGTAGCCAGGCAAACATACTTCACCGTCTGTGATATCCGGGGACAGCCACGTTTCGGTGATAGCAAGTATGTCGGGACGAGGTTTGTCTACAAGTAGACCCGCCTCGTGTACCTTGTTCCTTAGGCTACGCACATTATTAAGCACTACCCGAAGGAACTCGGCACGACCAGCCCTAGGTCGTGCGCTACCAGAAGAGGTTCTGGTAGGGCAGAATTTGACTTCCGGCTGACCACCTGAAAACCCACAAGACGAAGGCCTTGCTCACCAGCCGCCCGCCTGCTTTTGAGGCTTTTGATGGCTTCCTTTAACTTCAGTCGAGCTGCCAGTGGGAGGTCCGGCTGAACGCTGACATTACTACCCTTGAGTTTGAATGCAAAGCGCACTAACGCTTTGCGTTCCTCCGGGGTTGAGAGGACTACACGAAGTAGTCGGGGTGGCGGATTTGGCGTGTCAACAGGGACGTTCCCCAATCTGGTTAATTTCCTGATAGTGACACCGGGGAAACCAGGTGGAAGCATCTTGTTGACGCACTGCCTCTGAGGTCGAGAGCTCCCATTGTGACTCATGTCGAGTAATAGTGAATGACAAACGCCTTCCGGCTAACCATCGTCCCCTCAACATATGCAGTCCTGCCGCTCTGGACATGTACAATACGGAAGATGAGTCCCTCGCATTATCGATTTCCCTACCTACATCTGGGTCTGCTACACCGCTGCCCGGTAGTCGCAGACCCAACAGGGTACTTTAAAGATGGTGATGTTTGTTGATTGGTCACACGGAGGTGAAACAATGAACCTCTAGACTCCGACATTTACTCTGGTGTAACCATAAAACTGTGTTTTAGTGTGCTAAAAAGCAATCAACCATTTGCCGCTGATTCGAATGCTTGGCAATACGCTTAACAAAACGCTGTAAATTTGGTAAATTAATTAGACAATAAAATTTCTACACCCTTATGTCCAAAATTGCACAGTGAGCGCATTGTAATGCTAAAAATCAAAGTTTGGCTGCCTGTTTTCCTGGATGCGGTATTTAACTAACTCGCAGTCTTGGAAGTCCGTTAAAAACATTGGATTTCCGCAACGTATACTGTAAAAGCTTTCTTTTGTGACAAACGTGTTGGCGCGAGCTTCCGTTAGTAGTACTGGGTTACCTTTATGCGTTTTCCCGGCGTCCTGTCTGGAGGTCGTTGGACGCAACACAGAACACAGACGAGATGTGAAACAAAACGGTTTCGAAAGGAATGCAAAATAGTGCCCAGTCAATCAGCTGTGCACGCTGTGTTGCTAAAGTGTCAATGTTCAACTTGCATTCCTATGTATCTACGTATCGATGATGAAACATCCAAGTGTGTAATTCTTGCAGCTATATTTGCCTTAAACATGCGTAACACTAATGCAATATTGGTAACCAAATTAGAAAGTATTCACTACAAGTTATAAAATATAAGCGTACTATTTCTGAGTCCATTTATTAAAAATAATTGCCGTGTACTGATACTCTCGTCTTGGACTATTTATTTAGTCTCCTATTGGG